CAACTCAATCAAATCCAAACACCTTCCCTAAAAGTGGTATTACCAGCTACTGGAAGTTAAAATTGCCGCACGGAACTATATCAGTTGAGTAAGGTGTTTGGTTTATCACACTCGTTATGTTTTGTCCAAAAAATCTTGCACACCACAGAAAACTCACAGAACACTCACACAACACTCAAAGGTATAATATATAAAACCAGCTGATGTAAACATATTTTATGACAGTTCGCGCTTATATTTCATATTGTAATATCACAGACAATTTATATAATAGATATTTAGAAAAAAATTGATCTCACAAAAAACGTGTTTGAAAAATGTTCGATATACGATTACTTAATCGTTAATAGTGCTACCAACTTGTAGAAAAAAATTATGGACGCATATTTTAAGCATGTTTTTCGATAAAATTCTGATGTATTTAATTAGAATATAATCAAGAAATTATAGTCAAATGAATTTACAAGGGAAGTGCTGCTTAAACCTCATTTAGCACTTAAGTTTGTGCAATTGTGAAGTTAGTGCTTAATGTAAGCACTTTTCAACTATCAAAATGTTTTTTTTTAAACTTATTGTTTGTTATACCAGATGGTTTGTGATTTTAATAATGGGTAGCACAATTCCGGAAGAAAACTTTAACATTATTAAACTATTATTAGAATCGAGAATTTATAGAAATTGCATCACAAAAATCAGAATGCTTAGGTTTCAAATGGAATCATTTTATGGGTTGAAGTACACTTTACGAATAATACGATTAAAACAAATGCAGACAACTCATTCTTTGAAGATAACTGGTTGGAGATAACCGCCGATAGGTTATGTCTTTTTTTAAAGAGCGCTAGTTTTCAATACAAACCATGAAGATCTGTTTACGCATAATTAACGAAGTATTTAAGTATTGATTCTAACCCTGAAGATTATATTTTCCGAAGCATATATTGAAGAAATTATAATAGAATTTGTTATTAGTTTTAAACTTTGTTTTATGTCATCTATTCGTATAGAGCAAGTAGTTACCAAGTAGATAAATGTATACATTTATAGTGTATTTATCAGTTTAGATTCGCACCATTAATATTTCGGATTTTCAAAAGTTCGTTCATATGCTTTTATTTTATTAAAATATTCAAAGCAGAAGTTAAGCTCCTCACTTTCATGTGAACGTTATTGATACATACATATAGCTGAATTTTATAATAGTGAAGGTATAAACCGTAATTACGCTTCAATTAAACACTTTTTCAATTCTGAATTAATAGCGAATTGTTTAATACCATTGTTTGAATTTCGTGTGTGATTAATTCAATTCAGATATTATTATTATTATGAAGAAGGGATAGTACTTTGCGATCTAAAAGATCTACTGTGCTTTTTAATCGGAGTAGAGTGTTTCTCCAAATCAAATTTCTTTAATGATAGACCGTATAGAACCTTTCTTTCCTAGTCTTGAATTCCTATATACCATGAAATACCATGCAATCAGCCATTATATTCCCTATGTGTTCCTATGTGTTTCTTCCCATTGTGCATCAGTCCCGGCACTACCCTAGCACATAGTATGTGATTTCTCTCTCTTCTCTACAATACCTGTAGTTTGAGGTGGATTGGATTCCTAACTTTGTTAGGTGATTAATTGAATTATCAATAACAGATATTAGAAATAATTATTTTTGTGAAAATCTTTTCGAAATATATCACACAATGGATATATCATACACGTGCTTTTGATTTCAGGTATGCGATAAAAAAATTTTTTAAAAATGCTTTCTAAGAGGAAATCATTTTGAAATTTCTGATTTTTATGTAAAATGTAATGATTCAATCAAATTTAAAATTAAAAATAATCATTTTTGGTGCATGATTTGAAAAAAATATTTGTTCCGAACTAATGGTTAATAATAGTCCTTAAATATAAAAAATTTTAATTATTTAAATTAATTGAGAAATGTTCTATAATCCGTACATTAAAATTTGAGTTAACTTTAAGATTCCACCATATATAGACCTAAGACATGGTCATTAGAAAAATCAGTTAAAAATGTATAATCGCAAAACCAATGAGCTGATATCGTATAGGAAACAAATTTCTAAAAACTTAATTTGAAATAGAAGTCTTTCTATTTTATTGACTTATAAAAATAATTAATAATAATAAATTATTATTTAATAATAAAAAAATAGCAAAATCTAAGGAGTGATTAACTGAATTTTTGTTAAAATCTGTCCAGTTAATGATGGAATGAGATCCATATTTGGATTATTATTTTCTATCTTAATGCCTTCAGAATTCTTTTTTTATCTTAAATACTTCCCATATTATGTTCATTGCATCACAGTTTATAATTCTTACTAATTTCAGTATTATTGAAGCAGAAACCTCCAACGCACTTGCTTCAACTGTTCAGGTCCATTTAGCCTATTAAGTGCAATTTTCGATTACTATTTTATGTTTCATTTGCAATGAATAGACCTAGTTTTTGGATGTTACGATGTTTGTCTCAAATTATGAGACTTCACATAAATAAGACTGTATATATTACGGTCTTTAATATAATAATTCAGGTTGTTGTATTAGCTAATCTCATCAAAGCTTCAAAATTGCACTTTGTGGCAAGCCACTTAATTGTGAGAGACCGTAAGATTACGGTCTTAGCGGTACACTGCGCACAAGTTATGTTATAACCGTAATACATTTACTATAACGGAAGGAAGTAGTTTATTAAATACTCGAACCTATGGTGAATATATACTTTTATTGAGCGAAGTAGTCGTAGTTTATTATAGTAAATAAATTAAAGAAATAATGTTTTTTTTTGTAATTTTAATTAAAAATTTTTAAATTTTTCAATAATTTTAAAATTATTGAAATTTTTTAACTATTATAAGATTATTAACGTATAAAACTTAACTTAATCCAATTACTAATAATAATTATTAAGTAATTGCTAATTTTACTCAAAACATATGAGATATGGTATGACAAATACAAGTGACAGATGAATATATCACCAACTAGTACCAACTAACAATTCTTTGTATGTTGCAGACGAAAATATAATGCTATATTTCTAGAACGTGAACTGTGAACAAAGATCCTGTTACGAATTTTTGCTCAGAGACTGACAAATATATTTTAGACAACTAACTTCAAAACCTTCAATAGCAGTGGGTCTATGGATATCTGAATACCTGGATGATAAAACTAACAATTCGTTTTTCAACGGAAATGTGAAGACCGTTTTCTTAGCAGAAGTGTTTGTCATACTTAATGTGGGCAACTGAATCATTGAAAAAAAGACATGGGAAATACATTTACATTTGCTGTGACAGTCAGGCTGCCTTAAAGCTCTTATTAAGCCCGTCAGCTCTTCAGAGACAATAAATAAATGTAAGATTAAACACTGTTGCAAAATACAATAGACTATTTGTATGGGAACTATTTGAAATTGGGGACTATTTCAAAATATAGGACTATTTGAAATTGCAATGTCAAGGGAATATAATGGATGATTGCATGGTTATTCAGTACTCTGCTAAGATGCTAACAAAACAAATTTTCGATGTCAGCTCGGCAGAAGTGCCTCGCTGGTTTAATGACTTCTTTAATGCCGTTTACCAGAGAAGATGAAGATGGTACGAAAAAAGCTTAAAGGAAACCAGCAAAATTTTTGAAGAATTTCTGTTTTTCTCTGAAGAGAAAGAACCTCATGGGGCAGCACTAATATATAACATATTTAAACTGTGATAGTTATTAGAGATTCAACATATCAATATAGTCATGAGAAGGATGATAAGCCTGAATATTTTCTATTATTGCTGAACTTTTGCTAGAAGGAAACTAAGACTATTGGGTTATGATATGTTGAGCGTAAACAGTGTCTTAGGTCTTCCTTTATTTGATCTTGTTAAACTCATTACTGAAACCAAGAAATTCAAAGTGAAGCCACTTTTTTGTGTATCCTCTAGTCTTTTCTGGTCTTTTCATCAGTCAAGCGTTATAATTTTCCAGCTTTGTTCACTATTGTTTGCAGATTAAGTGCCCTGGTATTATTCTGTTCTTCATATATAAGAAAAGAAAGGGATTGCAATTATGTTTAAATCCCGTAGCCATTTAGAATGTAACCGCATTTGCACTAGTGATCTATGTTTGAAATTTAATTAACACTATAAATCTTAAGATTATTTATATTCATAGTGTTAATCACATTATAATATACATGCAAATGATGCAGATTAAGGTGTGAGTCAATATAGAGTCATCATATATATAGTCAGCAGATTTAGACTTTTAGCCGGAACTCTTTCCGCGTCTCTCCGTGGCTTTCCTATATAAATATAAATAGTTTATCAATTTATTCAGATTTTATGGTCCACTATGATTCAGCTACTAATAAGATCCTAACTCATAGTTGATTTTAGAAACATTTTGAGGCCTTAACAAAGCGCAGTTGGTTTTTAATCTTAGCACTTCAAGAGGGTGATGAAAACATGATTGCTTTAATAGCTGGCTCTACTTCTGGTGTAAGAATTGACAACTATTGTAGAGGGTAGGTGATCATAAAAAGGATATAGTCCATCAAAAACAATTTTGAAAGCTTTATTTGGTGGAGACTAGTGTGAAGTTAACAAATGAGTACTTCCATGTTGCATTGAAATCAGGATTACTTTTAAATGGTAAGTAGTTCATGTGTAGGTTATGAATTATCTTGCTCTTACAAATTTTGTAATTCATGTTTGGGACGAACCTCACAGATCGTTCCAAACAAAGAATTTCAAAAAATAATCTCCTTTATCAACTGCACAGATTGGTTTTCAAAAAGATATTGTCATGAACGGATGTGCGGTAACATAATAGCGATTGTGGGCTACTTATACAATAGATGAAGCTCTTTGTTTTTTAATATTATCATTTTGCGTTATCTCAAGAATTTGCTTTATTTTGTTTATTTCTTAAAATTATTGTGATTATGTAAAAATTATAAAAACTCAGTACTTACGCGCATAATTCCGCTTTGACCATTTGACGCGCAGTGTTGGCCTCATTTACCACAAACATCCAGTTTCCTTTGCTATTTAGAGCGGCCTGTGGAGTGATGAATTGTGAAGTGGTCTGACAGAGAGTTGAGCGACCAGGACTTTGACGTTTAGAACGTGAATTACTGTCTTCCTTGTTCACGCCGACAATGTCCAAGAGATCCATATTGAGAGAAACATCTCGAGATGTGGTAGGCTTTTCACCTTCAGTTTCAGTGTCTTTCGTGTTGTTTGCTTTCGTTTTATCTGCAGCCGTTAGAGGATTGCTCTCTGCAGCACTAGTGTAACCATGACTGATGTCACGCACAATGCGCTTCAGCCAATAAGTCGGATTATTTGGCGTACTTTTTAGATTGCCATGAAATGGATTCACTTGATTTTTATTCAAATTCAAACGTGAACCACTAGTGCCGTAGAAGAGAAAGCTAAATAAAATGAAAGTAGAAGTCATTTGAATAGAATATTGGAATAATCAACTAGAATTTTTAAATCTTTACTAGTCATCACTCACGTTGGTTGTTCAGTTGTTGGCTGCTTAGAATAAGACCGGTAAGAGTCGTCACTATATTTACCGCCGCCAACACCACCCAGTGGTGGTGTTATATATTTATAGCCGCTGAAGTCATTAGCGTTACCATTGTAATGTCGTTGCGGGAATATGTATGCGGGATCATAGAAAACTGGAGTCTCATGCCACGCCACTGATGCAAAATCATCCCATGTCTCATCTACGAGCAGATTTTTGGCTTCGAAGCCCCATTTGTGTACGAGATGCTTGATGAGATATCTGAAAGTAGGAGATTTATTAAAATTTTTAATTAAATTATTTGCGTGCGTTTTTATTCGGAATCATTAGAGGCACTTCAAACACTTAAACTTTCTTTTCACTCAAAATTTATTTTATTTGAACTCCATTAAAAAGTATGGGTTCGGTTAGATAATGTGAGGAAGTTGCTTTCTGTTGGCAGAAAGTGCGTACATAAATCTCGGCTGATGAATTCAATTGTCGACACGCGCAGCATTAAAACAAGACGCGCTTACATCACGGCGTGAAGTGTGTCTTCGAGTTTTTTCTTTTTTTTTTTTGGTAGCAACCATCAATGACTTAAATTCCAGCGAAGCCACTTGCCACAAAATGCAATTGTTTTCAGCCACATGAGAAAATTTTTGGGGTTTTGTAATCTGAGATTATCTGCCGCTTGTTCAGTTGATTTCGTTTCGAAAATAAGTCAGTGACTTGCTATTGTTGCTGAGCTTGGAATCAACAATTCATAATTACGAACGAGTTGCTCTAAGTAAAAAAATGTGTAAAGTGCATAATTACATACTCGCTTGTACCTAAAATCACAGCGAATTGGAAGATTTATGATGTACCTCACTTTAATGTGACCGACTGCCCGAGTGCCCGACTGCTCGACTGCCTGAGTATCTGAGTATCTCAGTATGTGATGTAACAGTTGAGGTGGTTTTTTTTAGTGACCTAAAGTGCTGTGTTTCACTTTCAGTGCGTTAACTTATGATGTGAGATCAACCTTAATTGTTACAAATATTTTTTGTGTAATGGCAGTTTCATTGGATTTATCTCACATCAACGGAAATTGGTAAAAGTTTAACTTATTTCAAATCTAATATATAAAACCACAGAATTATAAGGAAAAAAAAATTAAACAAAATATTTCATATCTAATACATAATGAATTTGTTTCATACACACAAATAACAATCTAAAGCTTAGACTGTCATCCATTCTCTTTAAACGGGATCACTATTAAAAAAGTACGATTAATCTATGTTCATCTTTAATGCAGTTTTCGATTAGTACATCTGGAGTAACTTTTCAATCAAGATTTACTTTCAGTGCAATTATAAGTTCCGATTGGTAAATCTTGAGCGAAATGTATAACACTTGAGTGTAATTTATAACACTTGAGATTTATTTATAACATTTTAGATATTTTTTTAGAGTAGTAAGATCACCCCGAAATTAACAGCTGCGTTATATGATTTAATTTTACAGGTGAAATGTAATTTGATTCGACATATGTTTTGTTAAAAAAATATAAATGTCCACTAAGATAACTACAAAAATTTTAGATTAATCTAAAAATGTTCAATTGGGCAACTAAATTTGATATATCGAGAGTAAATCTAAATTGAATCTAAATAGACCAAATGAAAATGCCTTAACACTAACTATTCAAAGGACAAAGCATATAATTAGTGTTTAGTAAAAATAGCAGAGTATATGGATTTGTTATATCTACGCGATTTCCTATTCACGGGTATATCGTTTTGGCAAAGTATATTAGTAGTGAAAAGAATATTTTGCTCTCATTCTCTAATAATTCATATTAACAACAATAAGTAGCTAGATAGGTAAAAATGGCTATCGATTACATAGTGTGGCAGACGATACATTTAAGCACTGTAAAATCCCTTTGGGATTATAGCTAGTGCTCAATTAAAATCAGGATATAGCATCGCGCTAATTAGGCATTTGTCGCGCATAAGCACGTCTATTCCCACTGTGTGCCCAATCTCGAGCTCTATCTGCCATGCTTTCGCCCATCTTTTTATTTGCCACACTGCACACACCAACTTCCGCCTAATGGACATTTGGATCCATACGTTTGAAGTGGCTAGGTTTCTCCATCTGAATCCGGGTTGATTTCTATTTAAAACCCACCCATTCTCAATCCAGCCTTCTTCTTGATTCCCCCTCTTCTAATTCCTTTCTACCCTAATGTCCTTCTGCTCTGAATCAGTCAGCTCCTATTTCCACATAACCCGTGTATTCGTCTTGTAAGTCCTGTCAGATTAGTTGCTATAAGATCCCAGCGGGTTATAACAACAATAACAACATACAATTAAGCTAAATTGACTCATTGTGTTACCACATGATCCCGGCAGAATCTCTAAAATTTAAGTTTCACTAAACTATTGTGTTGCTGTGAACAATCGCAATAGCATTTGTAATGAAAAGCTGACAACATAATGTGTGACAGAAAATATTATCAGTGAAAGGACCAGTTGGTCAATTATTTGAGAGCTCTCGGTACTACTAACGGCGGCAGAAAGCCACTGAACAGACTGATTGGCGGATGTTATTTGACACGGCAATTAAGTAAGTAAGTATTAGAGAATATTTTTGATTGAATGTAATATATATTCTTGGAGCATGATGGCCTGCTAGTCAGTGTTCGGTACTGACATCTAATAAACATTAATGATAAGAACAATTTTTAACTTGATGTGACCATGACTGTCTGTATAACATGTCTCTTACAGTAATCTTTGATGAAGTTTAATATGTGAAATTTCTCAAAAACTATTGATAATTGACTTAATATGTTTATATCCGATATAAATTGCTTTTATCCATTATCTTTTTATGACAACACAGTCTTAGTAGCATTAAAGATCCATTAGTCATCGTCATCGTATTTTCTATCTATACATAGTACCATTAGACGATGTCAACAAAATACAGCTAATATGGGCTTAGTATGCCTAAAGTGTGACAAATTTATGGTCTTTGGCATAGAAAACGTACACCTACAGACAATACCTACAACAAGTTTTTCGTAAGTCTAAGCTTAAGAGTGAGCAAAGCTCTTAATGCCATTATTCGACAATAAAGTATGGTTATTGTTTTTGCCCGGCATAATTTAAGCATTGGGCACAACATTTTCGTAGTTTGTGGGCTTAGACACATACCTATTTTGAAGACATGGAAAAATGCATAGCAAAGGTTAAAATACGCATTTAAGTAGCAAAGTGCATTCTTGTCTCTTGTTATGACTAAAAATAGCCCAAAGCAATCTGGAAATGTTACTAAAAAGCGTTAAAAGCGTTGTCTACATAGGCCGAGTTTGGCACCAAATCGTGGCTTGGGCAACTCATTCATGTCACGTGCCATTTGCCGTTGGTGTTTGGGTCGGGCTCGGCGTATGACCGGCAGCAAAACTCATAAAATTATACAAAAATTTAAATTGAAAAATGAAATTTTGAAAAAAAGAAATATTTTGTCTCCGCATTTCTTTATGAATTTATTAAAAAAAAAAAAAACAAAAATAATATTATTTAACCTGACTTTGGTTAAATCACATTAAAAGCACTGAGACAAATTTGTCTTGAAAATATGGCTATGTTGGCGCCAAAGTGCGACTTCTTCGAATTATGCGACGAAAATTAAAAGAAAAATTTATGTTTAAGCTTTGTGTAAGACTAAGTTTTCGAGTGTTATTTTTCAGAGATATGTAAAGAAAGCTTTTAGTTGATATTATTTTACCAAAACCCATTGAAATTAAGCAATAAATGCATTTAAATCCAACTGATGATGCGTTAATGATGTGTGTCTTTATATTCAATGATGTTGCTAGCCACTTTTTGTATATTTTTTAAACAAAACTATATCTTCTAATTAAAATTGAATAGAAATTGAACTCGTTTGGGAAAAATTATTTCCTTATTTAGATATAAACACAATTTTTAATTGTTCCACTAAAGACACTTTAAGACTGGAATGAGACATAAAAGATCACCCAATCAGCACTTAAATCAGTCTCAGATCAGTCCAAATGTTATCAGTGCAAGCAAATAAATTTTAACGTCTCTTTTAATTAATAAAACTCAGTTTAAACAATAAAAAATCGTATAAATAAAAACAAAACACACTCATACGCTACGTTCGCCTGCAGTAGACATGCAAGTTTCGGTTGATTAATTAGCTAATTAGTAGCAAAACTACACACATGCCTTCTATGCTAATTTAAATAAATCGATTTTATTTGTCGTACAACTGCAAAATATCACAACAAATCTTCTGAGCCAAGCTCAGCTCAACTGAACTGAGCTGAACTGCGCTGAACTGCGCTGGGCTAAGCTGAGCTGAACTGAGCTGAGCTTAGAGTGCTGAACATGGCTAAACATTAGACCAAATCGAGTTAGAAAAAAGCGTCATTATTTAAGCAAAAAGAAATCAATAATTATAAGGCAAATGACTAGAGCTGTCAATTCAAGTTTATTGGGTCAAGGAATTCCTTAGCTTACGGCGCACACAGCTTAGATACAAGATACAACTAAGTTAAGATACAATTCAAAGCAGCCAAAAAGATTGCAGAGCAAAGCTGCGCTTGAATTTTATGCAAATTAGTTCAAGTCTAACGCTTATTTTTAAATTTTTTTTTTTTTTTCAATTTTGTATCTGAAAACATTATACAATGTGCTCAACTTGTTTCTTAGTCTAAGACTAACGTTTCGCTTTTGTTGCCCAAACTTCTTTTGGCCAATAACTGGTTTAAGCCATTTAACGTTCCGTACAGAAAACTGTTAAACTGATGTGGCTTTTAGCATTTTCAACCTTTTTCTCAAGTTTATAGATACACGCCGCACTGAAATGCTTTCGATTTCATTTTCAAGTTTGTCTGTTTTCTGTTTTTGCTGTACTTACGTTGGATAATTGTCGACATGTTCGCAATATGTTTTTCCCGGTCTGGCACATGAGGGCGTGTGACCCGGAGGTGCTGGCAAAAATTGACATGGTGGTGCTCCATAGAGACCGCATGGGGGTGAACTAAGTGCTGATGAAGTATAAACTAATATCTGTAAGAAAAATATATAAATTTTATTAATATATTTGATAAATGAAGACGTATGTGTTTATATTAATATGGTTAGGTTAGGTTATACCGGTGATCCCTAGTGGATCCACTTAGGCCTTTTGGCCCATTGTGATGCCGTATATAAATAATAAAAACCTGAGGGTTTAAAACCACCTAGAACCTTTTGCAAAGCATAAAATGCTATTTAAAGCCCGATCCTATAACTGGTCCAGGTCCTCAAGGAAGGGGGCTCCTAGAGTACTAAATCGCCGACGTGCATGAGCTGGACAAAAACACAAAAGATGAGATGCGCTCTCATCGTCCTCCCCACAGCTACGACAGATTTGGTTGAAAGGAAGACCTAGTCTTCTAGCATGGTTCCCTAGTTTACAGTGTCCTGTAGTCAACCCTACCAGAAGACCAATGTCCTTGCGGGACATCTCAATTAGAGTTTACGATTTCCTTTTATCGGAAAGTGGCCAGATTGCATACAGATGTCTACATATCGTTGAGTCTTCCCATCTTTTGTTAAAAGTATTAGTGCAGAAAGAACTCAATAACAATTTACATGACGTTAGCGATATGCCCAGATAGTCTAGGTGCTCCGAGTATGGTTCTGAAGCACCCTTTCTGGCTAACTCATCTGCTTTGCAATTTCCGAAAATATCCCTATGGCCGGGAACCCAATGTGTAGCAGTCAAGAACCGTCCTAGATGTTAATTGGACCGAACTCAAGGACTTTAATGCAGCTTGACTGTCTGATAGTATGTATATATTCCTGCCAAATATATCATCTACATTCAAACAAGCTATAGCTTCACTGATGGCGACTTATATTGATATAGAAAATGAAAAAAAAAGTAAGGGTTAGCTTTGTCGATACTTTATATATAAAAAATAGGAAGAACATTGCCTATTCAAAATATTTTTAATTTTTTTCTTATCAACTAATCATTCAATCCTGGGTTGAACATAAACTTTAGAATACTGCTATATATCTATAACCAGTGAAGTAACGTAAATTAATGTTGTTTATGATTGGTAAATCTGGATTCAATCTAGATTTACTCTTGATCTGCGATATTGTGATGCCCAATCGAACGTTATCTAACATTTTTGTAATTGTATTAGTGGGCATTAATATTAAGTGTAACTTTTTCAATTGAGAATCACATTTAGTGCAATTTTCATTTTCGATGGGAAAATCTAGAGCGAAATATATAACACTTAAAATTATTTTATAATATTTGAGATTAATTTATAACACTTAAAATTACGTTATAACACTTGAGATTAATTTATAACACTTAAGATTAGTTTCTAACACATGGGATTAATTTATAACACTTGAGTTTAATTCACAATACTAGAAATTAATTTATAACAGTCTAGATATTTTGCCAGAAAGCAGAGCTTAGAAATTCTCCTTAGTTCCTTTCTAGTTTATTATTTCCATTTACATAAAAAAGATTGCTTCGGGGTTTGAAGCGAGAAAAAACAGGGGATAACTTTTGGCTCAGTATTCTTTTTCAAACTCAGATCAAAGTCAGACTGTTTAAAGCTGACTGCTAGAAGCTGTCAATAAGCAAAAAGGAATTTCTGACTCGGAAAACATTTTCTACCAGATTTTATTAAAGATAGTAGCGAGTTATGTTCTATGCCGCAAACATTGCATTGAAAAGGCTAAAGTATCTTCCCTTAGGAAATTTTTTAATATTGGACGAGGATAAGTACTTCTGGCTCAGTACTTTTTTTCAAAAGCTAGATTAAAGCCGGACTTCTTTCTAATTGGCTTATATAAACAAAAAGGCATTTCCGAGTTGGAAAACGTTTTGTTTTGTGATTGATATAAAATTATAAAAGTGCTACTATGTATCACAAATATGTTAGTTTTGCTTACTAATTTCTAATTATAAAATTATATACTATAAAAGCGAAGCTTTGAATTTCTAATAATGCTGAAAAACATTTTAATATATATACATATCAAGTGTTATGGATAGGATAGAAACGCGTTTGTCGCCGGAATAATTTTTTTCACTTGCTGGGCTATAGTCTAGTTGTACTGCCATAATGATAGTAATAATCATAAAATTATAAAAGAGCTGCTATATCTTTTTTATTAAAATTTTGCTATTTAAAAATTACAGAATGGCGAAGTTTTAGAAATCAGTTAAGAGAATTTTCCTGTGATATCCGAAAACACCTTAATATATTTATATCAAATGTTATGGCTTTAAAATGAAAGCAACAACGCTGGAATGATTTTTGATTATTTATAATAAAAAGAAAGTATAGAATTTTGTTTTAATATCAATATTTTTAATATTTATTATTATACCTATATCAATTTATACATTTATATAAAATTTATATATATAGCATATACCTATCAATTTTTAACAAATTATCTGATTAAATTCTAATTCGACGTCACGCCAGTGACTATTTTAATTATTCGAAACTATTGTATTTAATAGAGGTTTTCAACAGTTGTGAATTACAACAACAAAATTTTATTATTTCGAATCAATTGTATTTTTGGCTGACACTAGGCTCTTTCGATTATTTTGTACTCGAAATCAGTGGTCTTATTTCTTATGATACTATTTCTTATTTCTTAATTATTCCTAAATAATATTTTGAGACTGCAAGTACCAAGGGTTGACTTTGCACCCAGTCAAAATTGAAGCTCAGAGTCAGTATTCATGAGCCTACTAACCGAAAGCAGTATTTGACTTGTAAGTTTGCAGTTTAAACAAATTCTTTACGAATAATTACATATAAGAAATATTTCTAAAATCACTGATGATGAGTGATTGATAGTACTTGTAACAGCTGTATGGTCAGTCAAAAATTCAATTAATTAAAATAATTTATATAAAATTTTGTTGTGGTTTATTGCATTCTGAAGCCTTCAAGGTGAGCAGAATTCTATTCGCATAGTTAACGGATATTCGCCGTTTTCCTCCGCACTTTTCGCAAGAAACTTGAAGAGAAAAATACTAAATAAATTCCGTTGAATTTAAATTTTTTTGATGAATTTTCTATCCTTAGCAATAAACAGTCTAACGAGCTGCCATAGATATGTACATCTAAAAAGTTTTTGGCTTCTTGTGGAAGTCAAAGTTAAGCAGTTACAGATGAAATGATTGGTTGTGACTTCCTGTAAGCTTCCATAACCTCTAAAATAAGTATTTAAAAGAATACTTAGTTTAAATATAGATTACACCAGTGACTACTGAGTTCTACTAAGTTCCCAAGGATCTAGTATTTTTATATAAAGATCAAGTCAAAGAAAAAAAAAGATAGTAAGCGAAAAATGTAGAGAAAGCTACTTCTACCAGCACAATATAGAATCCATAAGTTTTATCCAGGGAACCATCACGACGAATCACACTGTCTGCTTTTAATCAGCCAATTTTCATTGGTTGTCAATGGAAAAGGTAATACTCCAACTTTTCTTGATGTTCTTTGTGATTAACCGGTATGTCTCACTAATATATAATAAATTAAAACTTCAGCCCGAAAAACAGTGGCAGCTTAAGAAAGTGATTTACATTTTAGAATGGTCAGAAAATTTCTGTCCCAGGAATAATTTTTTGGGGTTGCAGGTACCAAGGACTGAACCTGTACTCTGCCAAATTTCAGCTTCGAGTCAGTATTTGTTAGCCAATTGAAAAAACGTACTTGATTTGTATCAAGTCAAGTGATGCTTGACTTGATATGAGACATATATATGATATATATATATGATATGAGACATAAGGAGGAACATTTACAGCAAAACATTTTTAATATTAAAAAAGTTCTATATCTATTTTATAAGGTATCGATTGATGAACTCAATTAAGGTGAACTTATTCTTCTAAAGTTTATTTGGATAAAAGTTTTATGTTTTTTTGGTAGATGAGATGTGAGTTAGTGTTTAAAGCACTTTTACTCAATGATGACTGACTGTGGCCAATAAAGTTATATTGATAATATATTTATTTATTAATATATTTTTTTAGTAAAACTTTTAATATTTTTATTATAAAACTATATATGTTAGAAACTTACCACATAAATAAAACTAATGCCATAACTTCTAAAAATGAGACTAATAATACTCTTCATTGTTACATGGGACGTATTTTCATTTGTTTTGGTTTTGCGCGCAAAGCACCTGAAAGATTAAAAATTTATTATGAAAATTAATAATAATTAAAAAATATTTAAAATAAAATAAATTATTTATATTTATATTATATATACTTATTTAAAGTACTTAACATGAAATGCATATTTTTCATAGTTTTCTTTCTTGTGTACTACAGAGTGTAATTTAGCGGTGAATATTATTTTTTTTGCAAATTATGTAAAATAAATCTAAATATTTGTCTATTTATCTTTAACTGTTTTGTATCTTAAGCGAAATAAATCCGCGTTTCTATCCATACATATTGAGGGTCTTTGTATTTTTCTACTTGATGAGTTATGCTCGTCATCGAATAACAACAAATGTAAACTACTGAACTTGTTAATTGAATTGGTGAGCAAATAGACTCAGTTATGAACAATAAATTTACAAGCAAAAAACAATCTGAGTATAAACAAATAATTAAAATGAATATTTAACCTAAAAGTGAAAGTTATTGAGGTCTTAATTTGCAAAATACCGAATGTAACGTTAATTATTTCAGCCATTGGCAAAAAACTGACAGTTAAAAATTCCAAAGTAAATAATGTAAAAATAGAAAAAAAATACTAAATAAAAACAAAGTTATTTGAACTTTGACGGTCATAATGTTGTCGTGAGAGGTTTTATTTATTTTGTAATATTTTTCTATATATTTTAGATAATAATTAATAATATTAAATAAACAAGAAATAAAGATTTGTCGATATGCGGACACCTATACGCAAGCTAGTCTCTTTAAATCTCAGTGAGTTGTCGCGTTAGGGTATCAGTCTTGTGAAGGATTTGTTGGTGGATCTCAACATATTAAATGAAAAATATTTAATTTGTAAAAATAATTTAAAATACTTTATTACATTAAGTTTTATAAATTCTTAACTCTTAATGAATCAAGAAAAATATTTGAATACATATTTTTTATTTAATAAACCCTGATATACAAGAGCCAATAAATTTATTTTAATATTATTTCATAATTATTATTTCAGTCGGGGAGTTATGTTGGAAAATTAAATTTCCCACATAATAATAACTATCGAGGTTAGGTATTGGTAAACACGAAGAAAGTGCATCATATCTATTTTAACACTGTAGGATCTCTATTTTTGGAGGATCTTATCCACCTTCAATATCACAATTGGCTTTCCTAAAGGTTCAAGATAGTCTTTACATAGTAATAGGAAGAAACGCTCCCAACGGAGCGGAGCACTGCGACCATGATTGATCTTTTGTTCTGCAACAGACCCTAACCGCACAGAAGACATTCCCTCTCCCGAATGAAAGTCAGAATGTCGGCCGTTGAGGACCTCTTAATGTCAAAAGGGGAGAGTAGTTCTCGACCTACTAACCTTCTTTTGGCCCAGATCAAGGCTGGGCAGTCACAGAGAATGTGACTGAAGTCTCGTCTGCTTCTAAGCAGAATCGATAGTCTTCACATAGTCTTAAAGTAAAAATTAAACGTAATCGTACAGTAGTCCAATGGAGCTAAGTGGATTCGCAAGATTTCGGTCACAACTTGACATATATTGATTACATATATAAGGAGATAAAAGAGAACTGTTAAAATGGAAATGGGAATGCAAAAAATTTTAAGAAAATTTGATGTCAGTGTACATTTTTTGATGCTATATTAATTGAATACAAATTAACATGTTTACGAATAATAAAATTAATATTCTGAAACGTTTTTTATTTTCAGCTATTTTGCAACAAATCCATTTTATGTTCTATTTTTTTTTTAATATTACAGTCTTTGATTTACCAGTGCTCTATTAATCAAAGTGTTTCATCTTTTCTATCCTATTGCAATGGCTCTCCAACCTGTATAAAACTGTTATTAAGGTTGCGTTAATCTAATACAACAAGGAATAGATGAAATTCCTCTTATACTAGTCCTATTTTTACCAAGTCTACCATTTGATGTCCTTACCATTTTCTGCATTCTTTATACATGCCCAAGCTATCTCAAACGATAAGATTTAATTCACTTGATCATATTGGGTTCATTTATTATACAATCGAGCGTGTTATTGAATCTTATACGGTAGTACCTATCATCAAGTAGTACTAAGCCATATATTTTCGATTATTTAATATTAAAATTATTTTTTAATATTGTATTAGACGAGAATTCCTAATTCGAATATTAGGAATTTTCCTAATGAAGGCAAAAGCAAATTTGCCGAAATACGTATAGATATACAAAAAAAAATTAACGCTCGAAATAAAAGTTGATATTCTTAAAAAAATAAAACCGACTTTAATGTAATTTAAATTACACAAAAATCGGATAGTTCAAGCCTCATATAAGCAAAGAGTAATTTGCAAGTTGAAATACCTTTTATGGTAGATTTTAATAAAGATGATAGTATGGTTTATCAGTGTAGATAA